AGAGTAGTGTGTGTGTGTGTGTGTGTGTGTGTGTGTGTGTGTGTGTGTATGAATAATAATAATCTTTAATCGTATCTTTGAATTTATACATTATTCATTACACGATTTCCGCTCGATCGCGGGTTCCAATCCGAAAATATAGTTATAATCGTATCCAGTATCATCGTTAATCCGTTGAATATAAATACACTAGATATTCTTTTTCCAAAGTCCATTAACCGTTCTACCCTCGTTCTCGAGACGTAACACGATGATCGACCAATCGGTTTTGTTGAATGCAGTGTGAATCCTCCATTATATTACATCATGAATCGACTGGCTTTGAACTCGCAGTACTCAAAAAACAAGAAGAGGTTAAAAGTGCTATTGAACTTTTATTTTTCCAAGTTATATGAAAAATGTAATGTCACGCTCTAAAATTTGGCAGTACGGTATACCATTTATGATTTTTATTCTCGGTGGTTCATTTGGACTCCGAGAATTTACAGAATTACGGTAATTATTTGCTACAAAATTAAAATTCTATCAAAGAATTAATATGATGACATTTCTTTTATGAAGTAAATTTTCAGTTATAAATATAAGCATACATATGAATATAAAATACGCAACGAATTAGAAAAAAGAGGAATTAAAATGAGACAATCAGAAGAAATCACTTTAGAGAAAGAATATGAAAAATTGGAGAAGGTATGTGGAATAGCACATATTAAAAACAGTAAATAAAGATTGAAATTTTTTTATATATAGAATAATATTGAAAATAAATAAATTAGAATATTATAGCACAATTATTTTATTCTATTATATTATTATTAAGTCAATTATGAATACAATAACAATATAAGATTTATTCTTTAAAAGATAAAGCAGCAAGAATCTTTTTTTATTTGTGAAAAAACATCTTTTATATATAAAAATAGAAACTAGAACTATTTATGAGACATTTGAAATTTAAATATTAAAATAGATTTTTGTTTATTTTTAGAAAAAAAAATTTATTTGTTAGAAATATTTTTTTAATATGCTTATTTAATCTAATTTGTATATTAAATAATAATATATAGAATGATTTAGAATAATCACTTGTCTTGCAAAAGATATATTTCTAATTGAATTTTGAGATGACTTATCTTTTCTCAAATTTTTCTTCAAAGCTTAGTTTTTGAATTATAAAAGTAAATAAATAAAGTAAATATGCTATATACCATAGAATATAATATAGAATATAATATATATGGCAATGTAATTCATCATTAGTTGTAAATCATTAAGTAATAAAGCATTTATAATTAATAAAACAATATTTAATAGATAGAACTAATAAATAGAACAATATCTAATGACAAATTGATCACTTTCTATACCTACAATCTATAATCAAGTTATTTCTTTTTATAATTGAAAAACTAAGCTTTAAACAAAATTTTAAGAAAAAATAAAGTCTTTCAGATCTAATCAGAAATAGATTTAGTCAGGTTTTTTTGGAGGAGTACAAGTACATTTAGAAGAAGAATGAGATGAAATAATTCAAATTTAAATTAACTCAATTACAGAAATTATAGAGTTAGAAGGTGGATCGTATGAAATATAATGCAAATCTCGGAATTTATTCGATATAGAGACAAAATTCTTTTAGGAACTATTGGACTAACTGGATTTTCAATGGGGTGGGAAAGAATTAGACTCCTGTTTTATGTAAAATCTCATGTTTTTGACTACATTAATTGATACAGTTTTTAATTTTATATGAAAGAAAAGTTTTAAATTATATAGAATTTATTAGTTTAGAAAGCTTTATTCTGATATATTTTGACATTTAATATGAAATATTTTATAAAACATTCATTTTTCAATTATATTAGCTTGATATTTTTATGAATAGTATAATTTAATGAATCTGTCCATGTAAAAAATCATGTATTTATTTTTTTAAAAAAGTATATAAATTGTCATATTATTTCTCAAACTTCTTATTAATAACTTTTTAATAATAATTTAAAATAATATAATATATAATAATAAACTTGTTGATAATTTGATATAATAATATTGAACAACCTTCTGAAAATTATTCAAACGAATGCTGTTGACAACATATGCCAAGATCATTGAAATCGATGAAGTTGCCACCAATGTAAAGTTAACTTCAACAATAAATTTTTATTATAAAAATCGGATTTTGTATAATTACAATAATATTAAGAGCTAACACTAAATGTACATATAAGCTGTATATATATTTAAATATTAATGTAGATATTTCGATCCTTATTTGGTTCTTCTTTAATACAGAAAAAAATATACAGAAAAAATTAACAAAATAACGCAAATAAAAAAAATATAATAAAATAAAATAGAAATTGATAATCTGTAAATCAAAAGTCAAAATAATAAAATGATGTGCACAGTCAAAGATGGATGATCTTTATCAATTGAATACTTAAGAACTTATAAAATATCAGATTTTTTCTCAACTAATCTATTAAACAACTTTCTGGTTTTTCATAATTCTAATTATAAACATTGTGTTAAACACTGATGTTAATATAAACAAAAAATTGCTTACAATTGTTAGATTGAAATTAATGGTTGTATTTAAACATTAGATTTTTCCGTTTACCATTTACCATTTCTAATTTTATTAAGAAAGGTAAGAGTAGTTTAGTACTAAATATCGATAACTTTTTTCGCACTCAACATGTTTATATGAATAAATTTAAAAAACGGGTTTTAATTTGGTAAAAAATTGGCGTATTGTTGAAAGAAAAATCACCCGAAAAAATATTAAGAATATTAATTATTATTATATACTCAATAAATTTTGGATAAGTATGATGTGGATTATGACAGTAAATTTACTTTTGTACATTTTTTTTACAATACTTATTCTTATTATTATGATTCTCAAGAACATTAAGGAAATTATCTTGTCATCAATTAATTTTAAATCACATGTCACATGTAATTTTTTTAAATTCTGGGATAAGTAATTTATCAATCTTTCCAATACTAATATTCCTTATGTTTTTCCCAACATTTATTACAATTAGGAAAAGAGTTATCTTCCTTCTTCTTCAAAATGAATTCGCTTTTAGAAATCATTTACAGGATTTATAAAATATATTAAAAATAATTTAATTAGATTTTCTGATTTCAAAAAATTGACTGACAGAGAAATATATGGAATCTTTTTTTAATTTTGATGAGCTTTTAATATATTCTAAATCAAAATAAGACGAAATGTATTTTTGTTATACGTACTCATATACATTTTTTAGAAATAAAACATTTCTTTAAAAAAATTGGTTATTATTACAACATTATTGTGATTATTTTCTTTTTTTTTTTCAAAGAGTATTGTCGAAATTATTGTTGAAATTATAAAAAAAGTTGTTTAAATAAAAGTTGAAAGGTTTCACCTATAATAATAATAATCTTTCTTTTTATGTCTTAATATCTTATTATTCTTTTCCAAAATTTTGAATATTTTTATGATTAAATTAAAGGATATTTTAATGCGAATTCAATTATATATACAGTTAATAATAAGGATGAAAAAAGTGATTTGAAAAAAAGTAATTTTTTGCTATCCTGCTCTTCTCCTATTCCACCTTTTGGATTAGAGATTTTGGAAGAAAGGAAAAACATTTTAGTAATAAGTATTGTCTTAAATAAGCTCAACAAATTTATTAGGATACATTATTAAGATGAATTTCCCTTATTATCATATATACATAATGCTATATATACATAAAATAAATTACGAATCATTATATGTAGGCATCAAATTAAGATTGTTAAAAATAAGATTATCAAAACATAGAAATCATACAAACAAAGATACAATTTTACTAATTTTACTGATCGCAGAATTAATTTAAACCATAATTTTGATTGGAATAATGTCCCAATACTAAAAAAAATTTAAATAAGTGATCTCTGATACGATCCATGTACATAAATTCCTATTCGATAATTTAATTTATTAAATATATAATAATTCGATAAGTATAATTTACTTGAGAACAAGTCAAACGTATTCTATAATTGCTACTTATTTAGTTTATCTTATTTAGTTTATATTCTTATTTAGTTTTCATTTGCATACATCAGTCAACTTTAAAACTATTTTTGTGCTTTAAATTTATTTTATTCTATTTATGAATTTGTACAATTAATTATACAGTTACATTTACTACATAATAATGTTAAATTAATTTTAAATTAACTTATACTTTAACTTTATATTATATGTTAAATTAACTTATAAATTAAATTTATTAGAGAATTAATTTTTTAGACCAATTATTTATTTTCATTACAATATTCAATTTTTTAAGTAATTAATTCAATATATTTTTCCTATGATTTGATTTTCTTTATGAAGTTATTCATATTAATTAAATGAACTTTACTATAATTGAATAAACGTCTAATATTATACATATAACTATTTTTTTTGTTAATATTTTACAATTGACTTTCTGGTACATAGTATGTCAAACTGTTTATTTAACTTAATTTTTATTCATTCTGATTTGATTATAGATTATAGATTTGTGCAACTCCAAGACTAAATTCTTTATTTCCCTGATTTTTTTTCTGATTGTTTTATAAGTATGGCATAATTAATTGTGTATAATCTATATAATATAAAATTTTATGTTTAGATGGACCTCGATAGTTGGGAGAACATTCGAATACCAAGACCATGGGAAGAATAGAAAAATACGAAATATTCGAATAAGAATGACTTTATCATTTACAATTAATAGAAATAATAGATGATCAATTTATCAATGAATCTTTAGAATGGATATTTGTATATATCTTTCATTAAATAAAGAAATTTGTTATTACTGAATAGTACTATAAAAACGAATATAATAAAAAAATTAATGTAACAGCTCTTTGTATATTGTTTTGCTATAATTTTCAATCAAATTTATTAATAATTTATTAATAATTGCGTATAATAATTGCAAAATTTCTTCTATGTAAATAGAATTTTCTATGTAAACAGTTTGATGTAATAAAGTTTGGAGAAGAATATTTGAAGAATATTTTTTGAAGAATATTTCAAGATATAAAAAATTATATATTACGATCAAGCGAGTTACGACGAGCGATCCGCTCGTCGTTACCGCGAAAATCAATACTTCAAAGAGAGGATCGTTCCCTACTGACGCACAGTGGGGCTACACGAGAAAGCATGTTTCAAAAAAGGCTACAGCCTTCAAATTTTAACCGATTTTGATGTTTTTTTTTTAATGAAAGCTTATTCAATTTCGCACAAAGTTGTTGAGGCTGATTTTCTAATTGAATTTTTATTTTAAAATGGTAGATATAAAATAGCAATCAAAAATAGAAAAACCGTGTTTCAAAAAAGGCTATAGTCTCTAAATTTGAATCGACATCAATAAATTTTTTTTTTAAATGAAAGCTAACAAAATTTTAGAACAACTTTTGTCGAGCCAAAATTTTTTATTTTTTTACTCTCTTTCTTTACTAAATTAGACATAAAGCAATTAGATATAGAAAATTTCAATAAAACAGTACATAACTCTCTCTGATTCTGCTTGAAAAGAATGATATTATTATTGTTATTAATTTTTTATTATTAATTAATATTATTAATATTATTAATATTAATATTAATTATTATTTATTTTTTAATTATATGAATTTTAATTTTTTTAATTATGTAAAATAAAGTTTTAATTATTCATGAAGTAAATTTTGAGCTTCTACATCTACTAAAGTTGGAGAATGTTGCCATTTGGTACGAAGGCTACTTATATAAGGATCTGAAGAAATCAAAAGTTTATTTATGATATCTTCGTTTGTTGCAAATCTGTTATGTTTACGCGTATTAAACTATCTGAAATGTTTAAAATTTTTATTATTGTGCTTCTTGGGCCTCCTGAGATAGATCTCCTATTGGAACTATAAATGATTCTATAATACATTTCCCATGAAGGAGAATCTTGTGAATTGATGCTGTAATAGTAAATTTCTTTAAAAAACTTTAGTGGATATAGAAGTTTAAAATTTACTTCATGAATAATTAAAACTTTATTTTACATAATTAAAAAAATTAAAATTCATATAATTAAAAAGATAATAATATTAATTAATAATAAACAATTAATAACAATAATAATATCGCTCTTTTCAAGCCTAATTAGAAAGAGTTATGTACTGTTTTATTGAAAATTTTCTATATCTAATTGCTTTATGTCTAATTTAGTAAAAAAAGAAAGCAAAAAATAGAAATTTGACTCGATAAACTTGTTCTAAATTTCATTAGCTTTTACTTAAAAAAAAAAAATTTATTGATATCAGTTCAAATTTTTGTAAAAAGGCTATAGCCTTTTTTGAAACACGGTTTTTCTATTTTTGATTGCTATTTTATATCCATTTTAAAATAAAAAGCCAATTAAAAAATCGGCCTCGACAACTTTGTGCAGAATTGAATAAGCTTTAATTAAAAAAAAAAAAAACATCAAAATCGATTAAGATTTGAAACATCCTTTCTCGTATGGTCCTACTGTGTGACATGAATGTTTCTATGTTCTTGACAACATGTTGTTTGTTTTAGGGAAGTCGATTGAGAGAGAGCTGCCGAGCAGCTGTCATCTTACGAGTATTCGTTTAATTCTGTTCTTGATTAATCAATAAAGTTCCTTCTTTATAACAAAGCGGTTTGTTTTATTTCGCAAATGCCCGCCGCAAGATTTTGGGGAATCGAAACAGATTGATCGGATAAATTGTTAATATGGCGGTGCGCTGGTAGGAACCAACAGCACGATGAAGCGACGAGCGATTCCAGAAAAGAAAAGCTGCGGATCGACTCTGAATGAAAGATTGTTTTTTCGGCGAAGGAACGGTCCGAATGGTGACTGAATGTCAGCGCCAAATGCCAGGCCAGTCGTTAATTTCTTTTTGCTTTCATGAAATAATTTTATTTTTTTTAATTTGCATTTGCGCGGTTTTGAGTTTAAGAAAATTCTTTTACGATGACTTTTTTTAACATGGACTGATTTGTGGACGGACGTGCATATGTTTTTCGAATTTGGCACGATGTTTTGGTTTTAGATAGGAGGATCATTCGAGTAATATAGGATAATAGGATGAGGATAGGATTTAATATTCTTCGAAGTTTCTTCTGAGTATTCGGAAAATCATCTGTTTAGATG